AGAATTCCTAGTATTTATTTATTTTATCGAGTTATTCGTTTCTACAATTGTTATTAATTACTTTTCAAGAATGAGGAAGAAAAGTGAGAAAAGAAGATTAGATAGAAATTAATAAAATTGATATGCTACAATTTGGGGACATATATTTGGATAACTATTAGTTATAGCTTGTATCGATAATTATATTGAGTTTTTATTTACATTATTACTATTACCATTATTATTATTGCAATAATTATCATTATCGTTATCGATATCATCATTATCATCAGCACTATTATCATCGTCATCATTATCCTTATCAATACAAATCAACATCACTATTATCGTTATCGTTATAAATTATTATTGTTATCATTATTATTAACACCACTACTATTATTATCATTATCGATAAAAATCTATCACTATCACCATCAAACAAATGGATGTATTTTTTTTCAATTTAGTAATTTTTGCTAAATCATTAAGTTTAATGATTCATAAATTAAAAATGTTTTTTTTCTTCTTCCCCTCTCTCTCCCACTCTCTCTCTTTCATTCAAAATCAATTAATTATGAGGAAACTGAATAGAATTTTAGTTGAACAATAATAAGTTGTCAACAAATGTCAACAAATGATCTCGTCAATACTCCCCTCTTTCTATCATCTACAAACATCATAGTCAATATAATGGTCAAATTAATCATAGCATACAAATTAACGATTGATATGTGATAAAAACAGTAATGAAAAGATAATGAATTAAAATTCTTTAAAAGCTATTTAATTTAAACAAAGAAAAAAAAATTCATTTTTAAATTAAATTTTTTCACTCTAATCTAACCGTAATTCACATATTAATTCTATGAATAAAATTCAAATTTTATTTCACATCTCTTCAAAAAATTACATAACGAATTTTGATCAAAGATCAATTTACGAATTTATGAAAATTTGCAAAAAAGTACAGTACTGCTATCGATTAAAAAAGATGTCTGTTTTTTTTTTCTTTTTTTCGTATCATTTTTAAAAATTACATATTTACGCTAACAAGTACGCAAAATTTCGCACCATTTCTTTTCCTTTTCTTTTTTTTATTTAACAAACCATTTCTTTTATTGTTCCTTTTTAATTATCCAGTTTAACTGATTAATATCAACAATGAATAAGCATTTATCAATTTTCGTTTTTTTTTTTTTTTTTTTTAGAAAAAAATTAGCAATTCAAGTTTATAATTACATGTTTTCACATTGA